AATATATTTAACTATACTTGTTAACTTGTGTTGTCCAACTTATAACTTTAAAGTGTGGAAATAATTTTCTCTGTGCAGATATACAGACACAGTTACAATTACACATGCCAATGTTGTAAATATATGTTCAGTAATTTATGTCTGTTTTTTTTTATGTATATATTTTTTATTTGAAAGTCTGACGCCATCAATCCCTTTTGGGTAAAAGATGAAGATAATAAGGTAATAATTACAAAAAGTAGAGCCTAGACTGCTTGGCCTGTACGGGAGTCCAGTTATAAAATAAGCGTGATATAATATTCCTATTTTTTCCGTAATACTATAAGATGAATTAATACAGCTAACAGAACAGCATGTTTGGCATTTTTATGTCAGGTTGAAAATTTAGTACAACCCAATAAATAGGCTTTAGGGTACATCGACACAGTGCAGGTTCTCAAATTAAATTGCCATAGCCTAATATAAAAACGTCTTTTATATTTGATTTTAATAATTTTTTTGTACAGTAGTTTATTATGCATATACAGTATTTTACTTAATCATGCTGTAATTTGGCATGAGGAATAAATATATTCTTGTTTAATTCATCAATTCTCTATCCAGTGCCGTCTTTAAAATCTAATCTATTTATGAGTAGGCCTACAGTATGCCTATATTTTGGCAATGGGGCGGAGCTAGCGCAAACATCACCAATTCAATGCCACAAGCGTTGCGGCAACCACCATCTTTTTCAGGGTATCATCAGCTCGTGAAATTAGCCACGCCTTATTTCCTGTGGTGACCATTGACTATGGTATTGCTATATATAGTCACCTTCTTCTGTCATTCTGTTCGCTGAGCAAAGTTTACTAATTGGCTAAATGTTTTAGTTGGAGAAAATGAGAAGGAAGCCTATAGGCCTATTACATAAATGGGAGCTAAACAAACATTAGGATATTGACAAAATAATACTTATCTTTATGCTATTACAAACACACAGTTTTACTATTACCAAACTATTACTCATATATACAATTAAAATTCAATGACCTAATAGAAACAGCTGACTGGATTCATATTTCCTTCAACTCTTCCAACCAACCACGAGAATTCAATTGGATTGTTGCTATGGTGACGTCATCATGAATTCAATTTGAATCATGAAAATAAATTAAAGTTATTTGTTTATATTAAAGCTTGCTTACTCCGCTCAATTGGCGGACCTGAGGCCGCATGCCTAGTTATTTGGAGAGCTGTCTTATTTAAAGGGATGTCTTTTTATATGAAGTCATGTCTTGTTATTTGGAGGAATGTCTTGTTATTTAGAGGGATGTCTTTTTATTCGGAGGGATGTCTTGTTATTCGGAGGGATGTCTTGTTATTTAGAGGGATGTCTTGTTATTTAGAGGGATGTCTTGTTATTTAGAGGGATGTTTTGTTATTTAGAGGGATGTCTTGATATTTGGAGGGATGTCTTGTTATTTAGAGGGATGTCTTGTTATTTAGAGGGATGTTTTGTTATTTAGAGGGGTGATGTTATTTGGAGGGATGTCTTGTTATTTAAAGGGATGTATTTTTATTTGGAGAGATGTTTTGTTATTCAGCGGGATGATGTTATTTAGATGTCAACGTTATTTAGTATTTCGATCTAGTTTTAATTTGTGATATGCTGTTTATAGATCTTGTACGAAGGTTTTACTTATTTTCTAACATTTCCTCTGGATTCTTCTTTCGTGGTTATATAGGCTATCTATTTATTTTTTTCTATCCAATACCGAGCAGTCTATTGTGTGTCTATTTCCGTGTTCGATTTTATCTTTACCCATTGTTCTTGCGTTCAATTATATCTTTGCAGCCCTATTAGCATATGCGATCGTTGTAGCATGTCCGCCGTTCGATCGAGGCCTCATATCTACCGTTCATATAGTCGACCGTAACCGCATTATCCCCGTTTTGATGTTTGATCGTAACCGTTTTTTTCACCGTTTTAATATTTGATCGAAATGTAATTTCACCGTTTTGATGTTTGATCGTAACTGAATTTTCACCGTTTTGATGTTTTTATCGTAACTGAATTTTCACAGTTTTGATGTTTGATCGTAACCGCATTTTCACCATTTTGATGTTTGATCGTAACCGCATTTTCACCATTTTGATGTTTGATCGTAACCGCATTTTCACCATTTTGATGTTTGATCGTAACCGCATTTTCACCATTTTGATGTTTGATCGTAACTGAATTTTCACCGTTTTGATGTTTGATCGTTTTGATGTGTGTTCGTAGGCTATCATCCGTATTTTCATCGTTTTATCGGTCGATCGTGGCCACGTAGCCCTATCCCCTAGTTCGGTCGTAGTCGCCTTATCATAGTTTTGACGATTTCATATAATCACTTTTCATGTTCGATTTTAGCCCCCACATATTCAGTCTTAACTTATATGTGTGAACATAGTCCCATTTTCACCATTTTATGTTTTATAAGTCCAGTTTTTTGATTCTAGCCTACATTTAAATTTCATTCCCAGCATCCATATTTTGTTAGCGGAATTTTCACAATTTTAACTTTTTATCACCTTTGTATACCTACTGTTTAAGTGGCCGATCGCTTTACCATATCCATCCTTCTTATCACATCACACGAATATACTATACTTAGGCCTCTCGTAGTCCAATGGCAGCTCTTTTTCACAATTCCCCCATTGCAACAGGACAACGGGACGGGAAAGCTAAGTGACGTACCATTTCCCAGGACCGTGAGAAACACTGCACAATTAGCGATACAATGGACTAGAGACTAGAAACTTGTTACAACTTGCTTACAGCTCAAATGGGCCGAGAAATGGCGTCTAGAGGCGAAATGGCAATCAATTCTATTGGCTATAAATATAGAGTTTGTCTTCGTCTGTCCCGGGCCCGGTAGCTACCTCTGTGAACATGACGATCGTGAGAGTGGTATAGTAACGATTTATTGATACTTCCACGATTATTAACAATACAATCGCTGATGTTGTTTTATAGTAATCGTAAATGTGTTGACAATAATATTATGAGTATCAAGTGACTCCACGCCAAGATTATAATGTTGATGTACAAGAAAAATACGCATACTTTTTAAAAAGAACTTAACAAGTTTATTTCAGTAGATTTTTAAAACATATTGAAATATCTATAAGTGAACATGTTATTTAAAATAGATAATACTAGGCCCAGGCTTCAACTCTGTATTCGAGATCGTAGTGAGTTGGTAGTGAACAAATTGATTTTAGCCCAGAATATAAGTTATTTTATCTACTTATATTAGCTTGATTAGCTTTTTTAACTCTTTAAATTTTTTTCGTTTGACGTATTAATTAAGCTTAAGTTATTCAACAGAAAAAGATAATTATCTTCATATACTATGGATGAACTTGGAAACCAATAGGGAAAAGTAGTAACAGTGGATATTTTCCAACCACTTCTCACGCCTTTGGAAAATATTTTTTGACACATTTGCTTAGGTATGCTTAGGTATTTACTGCAATTTATTTACAAACTGTAACCAATCTAACTTATAACTTAACTTGTATCTGTAACTGTATAACTTTTTTTAACTGGGACAAACAACTTATTCAGTTTTTTTGTGTGAAATTTATGACTCTATTTTTTACTTAATGATCTTTCCTATCCATTGTGCTAAAACTCTGTTCAGTTGCTTCTTTTCATATTCCATGAGTGACTCATTGCGTGTTTATAATTTCACTACTAATTGGCATTATTCTTACATCCTGTCTGTGACCTTTCTTTACATCCGTTTTCTTGCTTAGATAATTGGAAAGAAGCAAATTAAAGTAGAGCGCAGATGTGTTAGTTGTATGGGTGATACTTTTTTCTTCTGAAAATGTTTATGAATGTTGTTGATACCCTGATGTATAATTAAGTTCAGGAAATAAATAAACCACATAAATAGAAGTAGTTATTCCACTTTCCTTCTTTGACCGCTAAATAGTTGTACAAAATTACTAAATAACTTCTTGATCAGCATTGTACGTGTTAAATGTACGGAAAGTAAATAAAAGAAGTGTCTTATAACACTTAAAACATATATTTACTCTTATACTGTTACTCACAAGACGGTAAATATACACAAAATATTCGCCTATATGGTCTGATGATGATTGGAGTGTCCAATCGAAATCGATCACCACTTACCATCTTGTTTGTATATTTGCCGTCTTGTGAGTAAGAGTATAAGCGTAAATATATGTTTTAAATGTTATAAGAAGTTTCGGTACTTACGTATTATACGGAGGCCACTTATTTTACAGCGCGCTGCGGCGGTTGGGTTAAGTTGGGTTATCATAAATATGTTTGTAGAACTTTCCTAGTTTCGTTATGAATCGAACTATACGAGATGAGTCATAAAAACTTATGATAACCCAACCTAACCTAACCGCCGCAGCGCGCTGTAAAATAAGTGGCCTCCGTATAATACGTAAGTACCGAAGTTTCTTTTATTTACTTTCTGTAAACTTACTAAGGTATTAAAAGAAACTAAATGCAGATTGGTACTGATTTGTTCTGAAATGGAAGTGCACTACTATTTACATTACCGTTATCTCAATGTGTGTCTAACTAATTAATTATTTAAGTTTATAATATAATACTTATTTTGAGACCAAATTAGTCTAATTATTGAATTAAATTTTACTAAAACATAAATTAAGATGACATATACCACCGATTATCAAAATTAAATATTATTTAAATAGGGAATAAATCTGATATAGGGAATAAAAAATGTTTTTCTTAAATTTGTTATTCTTCTAGAAAAACATTCCTAGTACATTGGATAAAGATATAATTGAATAACAAATTATTTTTACATATGATTAATGATGTTTTAGACAACTAACTATGACAATAACTGTCGAAATAATCGGCGGATATATCCACCTATAGTCACAGAAGGGTTAATAACTCATGGGATGTTAAATTTCAAGTTTATTTAATATTTATAGACTAACTTTAATGTTTGTTACAGCCGAGGTGGAGGGCTATGGACCATACAAGCCAGTGCCCCCACCCAAGCCACTGACTGCTGGCCCCGCTGCATCTCCCCCGCCATATAGGATGCCCCCGTACCCCCTGTACAGCGAGCCGTCCATCCCTGGGTCTGCTGGTGGTGATCCTACCCACTCCAACCTGCACACACACTCCAGCAAGTTTCCGGTACTTATCAAATACAACTTTTCGATTTACGATATTAGTATTGAATAAGTTTGTTTATAGGCAAATGTGTACAAGCACTTTGTAAAAATTTTAACACTGCCTTTTTATGATGGAAAATATAGTCTTTCTACTTCTAGTTACTTTAGGTTAAAAATATGTTCCAGGTATAGACAGGGTTTATTTTTTGGTGTTATTTATGACATAGATATTTTTCACTTCCTATGGAAACCTTTTGTTGGATAGCGTTTTTAATTGATACCCCAATGATAAATGGCACCAGGGTCTGGTAAAAATCTTGTTTGGCAAACACTAAAACAACTCGGCTAGCCAGAAGGCTATCTAGCCTTTAGAACTACAACTAACTAAAGTTAGTGTTTTAACCACTTCATCAAATAATGATACGTCGCCAGAAGAATGCCCCCCCCCCGGAAAATTACCCCCCCCCCCTCAAACGGGTTCCTACATCATGTTGACGGTCAGAAATCAAGGGGGGGCAGTTTTCCAGTGACAGACACTCAAGTTCCATTGTCAAACTGTTCTCAACTAATCTAACCCAACTAACCAAACTTGCTGTAACATTTCAAAATTATGTTTGATATTCCTCACAAGCCTTTTCTGTTATCAAACGGGATTACTCTAATTAAAAGTACTATGATAATTATTACGTATGAATTCATAGCATCAGGGGGGTAGTATCCCAGTCGCGGACACGGCTACCATATTGGCTAGTTGGCAGATTTTGTGAAGTCAGATTTCACCTGGGGGAGTGGTTTTTCGGGGGTAGTATTCCGCATACCCATAATGATTATGCGTTGGGTTACAGTATACTCGTATTTGTGCCTTGGGTTACAGTATATCTGTGCCTTGGGTTACAGTATTTGAATATATATAGGGTAAAAAAACCTCTCATCTGAGGTTTGATTGAATCCATTACTTCCTTCCAAAGGTATTTATTTTTATACACAAGAGGCTTCCATGCAAGTAAAACCATGCAAACTTATACTTGGACTACCACTTTTGATCTTATGATTTTTTTTAAATAATTATTTGACATTTTCATTTCCTTGGCTTCTTTGTTTCTCAACTGCTTCTTCTTTGGTCGTCCAGGGGTCTCCTTTTAGGGAATCTCCGGAAATTTGCTTAGTCAGCAGGTTTGCTGATGTGGCAATAACCTTTTACTTCATCTTCCCTTATCTTCAATCTCCTCTTCATGTGTGGTTTAGGTAAAGGAAAAAGGAAGTAGACTTGGCGTGTGACTTTAATTTTCAGCTCTGATTTTGAGAAGTCAATGCTGATGGCTCTTTGATGTTTTAAAACTGGACCCTGCTTTATCATTGAACTTCAACTGGTCTTAGTCAGTGTCAAAACTATTCAGTTCATCTTTCTATTTACATTCATCCTGTACATATTGTTTAACTACCACTCAATCAAGAATTACAGTACACAATTACATCCCGAACTGTGTCATGCCCTCTTTTCTTGATTCTCTCCCCAACTTTTAAGTTTGATGAAATCTGAGGACCCTGCAGCAGCTTTGGGTCATAGTAGAATCACTACTTCACCCCTTCGTTTGCTTCTGTCATTTAGGTACCTTTATATGGATTCAATCTCTCGTAGAACATGACGTACCTATGGATTTCTTTGGTGTAAATCACACAGTTAGATAATCTGCTCAGTTGGTACCGGTATCACAAGAGATTCCAGGTTGCTAGGTTGGCAGCCATGCAGTACACAGGATGTGAGGACTCGGGAGTTGTGTAGCGTGAAGCTTGTGTCTGTATGGTTCATGGCCCAGCAAGGCCTTCAAACTCCACTGCTTGTGTTAATTTGAATATCTTAAACCCCTCCACTGTGCCTTTGAGGTCTACGAACTAATGTTCGGATGTGAATATAACTAGACAATTTGTGATAGATTTTACCACTAGACTGGGGGGTGCCAACTATAAAGTTTAATTAAACTCTTGTGGACTGCTAAATAAATAAAAAAAATTAGGTGCATAGTTTTGGTTCAACATACTTAAGCAAGGCTTTGATTTTGACACTCCCATTGAAAAGTTTTAGCTAGTTTTAGAATATGATAAAAGATATGTCTACTTTACTGTCCAAGAGTGAATGGAGACCTTAGCTAACTTAGGTGGTTTTGGTGATCTAAAAAAAATTATCAACTCATAGTAAATTAAATTAAATATAAAATTGAAGAAAAATGGCATAGACATAAATACAGTTCACTATATGATTAAACAAATATTTACTGTAGTTTATACATCAGAATGACTAGACGAGATATGTCACTCATGTAGTAGTGTTAACTTTTTTAAAGATCATAACATTTGATCTGAAAACAAAATAAATTGTAAATTGAACCATTTTCCTGAACCTACAAAAAACTAGTTTACACTAAAAAAGGCTGTCGAGCAAAGAAGTTAAACCTGATATTATAATTTCCTACTCATGTCTCCAACTCATTATGACTCATAACCCAGCAGACATCCACTTAATAACAGCAATGATGCGAGACGAACATGGACCATGGTCTAGGACAAGCTAGTTAATTAACTATAATGACAATGGAGTTGTCGGGTAGGTTTGGTGATGCCTCGGTGTTTGATTAAAGCAAGGATGACGCTCCTAGTTAGTCGCTACCAATTACTTTTTGTTTCTGGTAATTGTGGGAACTTTTTGTCCGTGAGAACGTTCACAAGTGTCCGAGACTTGACACCAAACGCTTCTTCGGCTCTTGCGGACGTATAATTTAGTTCCATATTGTAATCGGTTCTGTGAAACGGTGAAGTAAAATGGAACTGCGGTTTGTGTCATTTAAGTTGTAGTGGAAAAGTGTTGGTAGTGTTGGGGTGTTTTCAGCCTTCTTCAGATATTTATGTAGTGAAAGAAGTGGAAATTATTAAATAGAACTCTTTTAGAATGAGATTTAAGAGACACATGTTATTACTCAGGTATTTTGTTGTTATTTATCATTTAGTTGTGGCTGTTAGATCTTTCATTACATCAAAAAGAATTTTAAATTATGTAAGCTACAGATAAGTTTAACTTAAGTTCAAAAAATACTACTTGATGATGTATTTTATAAAGATTTTTTTTTCGATAAATAAGGTAGCACATTGAAGATCAATTATTAACAGGACATAAATTTTGTTTTATAAAACATTACAACCAACAGCAGAACTTACATGTCAATCTTACTAATATTATAAATTTATGAACATAAATTAAGATTACAATCAAAGGAAGTCATATAAAATACAGACAAAGAGGAAAATTTAAATAATCATAATGTATAATCTCATCTTTTTAAATAAATACATTAGCCTGTATTGAAAACCCCTGTAAGAAATTACAAAAGTACATTGTAGAGTTCTATATGTTGTAAAATTGCATAGAGAAATAAAGATTTGTTTAGAAGTTTATATTTTCGATTTTTACAATCTTACTTAATATTGGAGGAATTAGCAAAATTGTTTCAAATACCTACGGTTTAGATAATGATTTAAAAATGCATTAATGAATTTTAAATTAGGTAGAAAAGGAATTGTATTCAGGCCCCTGATGAACTCTCACTAATGAGAAAATGTGTACATATACAACCTTCTGAAAACTCCATTTGCCATTTGTGCTCATTTTTAAGTCCAACTCTTTTCCGCATACACATCCATCAATGTATTTCAATAGGGTTTGACATCTTGGAAATCTGAAAACAAAACATAACGTGATTCATATTAGGCAAAGCTGTCAATTTCTTCTTAAATTGTTATCAGCTTCTACAACAACAAACATTTTTTGGCTCTGTAAGAAACTTTTAAGAGACCTCAATATTGACAACTCTCTTAACTTTTTTCTAATTAATTTTCTTACCACTTGTAGATTGAGCGAGAGGTTATTCTCAGCAGCACAGACAAGAACTCCAAGATCCCTATACTGAACGAGTACCGCAAGAGGCCCAAGGGAGCAATTGCACCTGACGCTCCTCATATACAACTTGCCTGGACGGAGGACCGCAGGGTACGTAAATACAATTATACATTATATCTTAGAATAAGGTAAAATAATTAAATCTTTTACTTTTAGATCACAAGATGAACCTCCCTTCTATGTACTGGCTGTGCAGCTATTTTTGTATTGAAATATATACTGTACTATAAAACCACAGAATAAGCCACTTACAGAGAATGTTCTATTTTCAACTTCAAAATTCAATTTTTTCCTTTAGTTAACCGATAAACACATTCTCTCACAAGCCACAACTCGGAACCCAAAAGCGCTGAGCCTAGGCCAATACTAATATGAAAATAGCCGATTAGGATTCCTTTGTAATGATTTCTTTGTTCCAAACTTCAGAAAATGGAGTCTTGTGACTTCTGTCTAGAAGGATTTAATATTGCATTTTAGACTGAGTATTAACTGGGATACACAATCTGGGAAGATAATGCGATCAGAGGCCATGAAAGTAATCATAAAAAATAAAACATAAGTTTCTTATTTTTATTTATTAAGATTTTGAACTTAGAGAACACAATTTAGAGGGAACATAATTTTTTGTGAGAAAAGAAATTAGGTTTTAAATTCTGACATTGATGTTTAATATAATAATTAAAAAAATTACAATAACTTCATCATAATCCCTTATTCTCAATGTATGTTTATTCTCTTATCTCTTCCACAAAATCTTCTATACAAATACATTATGAACAATTCAGATTGAACTTGAAAAAAATAATTTATAAGTGAAAAAGTGTTAGGTTGAAAATGTTTATTACTAGTCAAAATTATGTATAATTTTGATAATATTTTAGGACATGGACCAGATTCACTCTCACCCTCAAGATAATGTCGGAGCTCATCAACTTTACAAGGTATAACTATATTTTTACTTCTTCTTTCTAGAGTTCATATGAAGTATCACAGACGATGTATTTGATAGGATGAATTGTTGTTTTTAGTAGTGAAAACAGCAAACCTGTTTCTTTTAAATTAAGTTATTTATTTATGAATATGTTATAATATATCTTTACCTAACCTTACAAACATCTATTCATGTCTTAATGTCATGAATCAACTAATTTAAATGTTTTATGAAGTAATTAATGGAATTCATTTTAAATTAGTAACAATGTACGAATATTTTTTTATCTTAGAATAATTATTTGTTAAATAACAAACTCATATTTCAATCTGTTACAGGCCCAACCCATGACATTACTTGACTCTAGTCGTGTTTCAGAACCTTCTCCTATAAATGGCTTCCACAGGTTAGACAGCAACTTACAATACTTTGTTACTGGTACTAATACTTGCACAATTTGTGTTAGCAATGTTTGTTATATTGTTGAAGCTTATAAACTGAAAACTGTCCTTGATAATTGGGCTATAACTATACAAGGCATCTCATTCCATGCCTTACTCATGCTCTATTCATAGTTCAGTTAAAATACATATTCTTTGGTCCTGTCTTGGACCTCAATAACTCAAACCTTGATACTTTGAATTTGTTTATAATCCCCATAAATCACAATGTTAAAAGTACCTTAGCTATAAGTCAAACTTTTAATGTGTTTAACCCCAATTAGTAGAATTAAACAATTTTTGATCAGTAATACTCAACCTCTATAACTCAAATTTTCCTGTTATCAAGCTTTAATAACCAAATTTTACCTCTATGTTGAAGTTCACTATAAGTCTGAAGTCTATAAGTATGAGCTTAACTCTTAACTTAATAACTTTACACTTTTCCGTACATTGCAAATCAACTGTATTTTAATTTCCGTCGAGGCGTGATAATTCAATTTCCTTTGTTTTATTGACGAAGTGTTATTAAATGTAAAACGTAGACACACAACAACAAAAGAAAAGTGATTAAGGTAGTTGACAATGGGTAAAAACAAGTGAAATCACCCAGCAATTTGGAATTCTGCCTAACACTAACAACAATTTTGAAAAAACCGGGTAAAGTATGAAACTGAAGGTGGAACAATGATCAATCAATAAGAAAATATTTTGGAACAATGAGTTTAAAGACTCGGATGACTGTGTTTAAACATGTTTAAAACAGTGTCAAGAAAAAACAATTCCTATATCAGGATCGATTTTACAAGAGAAGGCCATTTGTACGCATGATAATTTTGTTTTGCTTCCACAGTTACTCTCGTATGCTATTGAGCTTGATTTATAAAGGCTGTCTATGTAAAAGTCGTGTTATAATGTTCATGACGTATCATCATACCTCATAATACATCATCGTCGGAATCACATCTCAACACTTCAGTGTCTCAAATTTTTGGTACACAGCACGTCCATAACTTGAACCTTGCTTATTCGAAAAACTTGATAACTCAAATTTTGATCATACCCCCTTCAGATTCGAGATGTCGAGGTCCTACTAGTTAAAATACTGGAGATAAAATAATTTGCTCAAGATTGTTTGAACTGAAAACATATCACAACAGTTCAAAGTATATTTTATTTGAGATAACTTTTTAAAAAATGCTCTAAAGGTTTTCCAACCTAATACAAATGATTTTTACAGTGGCCAAGGTAGTTCCACAGGGGCAGTGCCTCGCACCCCTGCAGCACACTCCACGCCTGAGGGGGAGGGTAACTCCAAGCCCTTCCCCTCCCGAACATACCATACCATCAAGGACATCATCAGCAGCAAATTCAACAAACGCAATGACAAAGTTGAGGAACTCAGGTACGTTATGCTAAAATGTTAAATTTTTTTAATTTTACATAAGATAATTAATAGATTTTCTGGTTTACATTTAAGATTTGGCTCTGCAGAAGGAAGTCTTTATTAATTTTTGTGTTATTTAAATTCATAGTGAAGGTGACCTCAATTCAATTATCAAAGTACAATTAATGCTCTTTATTCAACACACAATTAAAACAAAGTAAACATTACAACCAGATGATTTATGATTGTAAAATAAACAGGCAATAACTATAGACATTAGGGATGTAACATATTTACTTGTTAAACTCTACGTGGACACCTTGTTTGCAAAGGGTAAAGCCATAAGTACTAAATAATCTTCACCCAATATTTCCACATTAACTTATGGACCACGTAAGTTATCATCCTGTACAACGATGTTTTTCTTTTTACACCCAAAGTTGCATGTCAAATAACATAGTTGTCTGTTGCAGCCCTCAGAGTCAGTTAAGACAACACGGGGTGTATCTGGGCACCCCTAGCAACTCTGGTCCCACTCAACCTCCTCCTAGCAGTGCTGAGATCATGCGACGAAACCAGGAGATACAAAGACAAATCAAAGAAATGAAGGAGGCACAGGATGATGGTGGCTTTCAGGTAGGGAAACTTGTGAAAAGTATGAGGGTCGTCTGTATATTCAGGTCATGGAGCACATTGCAGCCAAACAAGCTGGTACAAAACTGAGACCAATGTTGTGTTCTCTACTTTATCCGCTACTGTTCTTGCCAAATCCCACAACCAAGGGACAAGTAGTTTTGTGATAATATTCAAAAACGTTGTTAAAGAAAATTGATTCTCCCGCCAAGTACAAATCGCGTTCTTTGATTAGATTTCCGTAGTCTCAGTCATAAACCTTTATTGAAGTCTTTCACCAGTTGACAGGAAACTAGAGTAAAGTGTTTGGAGTCAAAAAAGTGCCTAAAGGATATGGGGTTTTAGAGGTAAAATGAAACAGTTTTCCATGGTGAGGGCAGACTACTGTTGTTCACCAGTCTCTGTTGTGTATGCCTAAGAAGGCTTTTTAAAGCAATAAAGTAGACTGTATTTGAGAGGGATATTGAATTTAATTTTGGTTAAAAATATAATGGACTTTTGTTTAGTTTTGACACTTTGACTGGTCCCTTCGAGAACTTATTTTCAATGTCCAAATGTTCACGCAAATTAGTACACACGATTTACAATCAAATTAAAAGGGTTAAATGGGCGCACAAAAGAAAGAGTAATAAAACAAGAAAATAGGAGGAGAGAAGATAGAATGAACGATGCTACACAAATAACATTATTACGAGGAAGCATTGCACTTGGAAATACAAATGTTTACAATTAAATTTGTAATGCTGCATTGTTGGCCATATGAGGATTAATGCAATTGACTCTCTCCTCTGTCACACTGATCAGCAGTGAAGGGAATTTCGCATGCGAATCTATTATGACTGAACGTTTAGAGGAAATTGCTGAATTGATACGTGACTTTATAAGACCATCAAAGAAAATTATACTAATGCCTAAAAGTCTTAAACTCACTGATCAGCAAGCAAAATTTCCTTAAATTCAATCTTTGTCTTCTGGAAGATGATGAACGCCCAATGCCGGCCTTGTGCAAATGTTTAAGGCTTTCAGTGCACTTCCCTAACCTAGCACTTGCACCTTTTCTATGTCAAATCCCTTTTCTTCATACATATCTGTTGATTGGCAACAGTAAGTAAAAGGGATTGCTTACCGAAACCTTATCACACAGAACAAGATTCATGCTTGGCGCGAACGTCACATTTCCTTCATATAGTTTTTGGCTATTATGAGGAGATTAATTATCTCTTAGAGGTGGGAACCAGCTGGAATAGTGAATGAAGGACAAATAAAATTCACAAATTGTATTTTACAGACAGACCTTATAAATTTAGTGTTTTATTTGTAAACAAAAGCTTTAGAGTATACAGTTGCAGATTTAAGGAAACACATTACAAGGTGATTTACTGAATTGGGTAGTTGTTGAATGAATGTACATTTAGCAGGATACATCTATACTCAATTCCACGTTTACCATGCAATACAGTTCTTGTGGATATCTACATTACGGGAAACATTATGCTTTTTGTAGTGCAGGTTACAGTTGCGTTAACTACCATTGTGAAGGCATTGAAATATATTTGACTTATTTCTATAATATCACAGTGTTTTTGTGAATAATTTAGATTTTGACGATGGTATAGCCAAAATAAGTAGGTACTTAAAATCCTCAGGAAAAAGTAAAGGAGTGTTTTGCAAGTTATGATGTTTTTAGACAACTTAAAATGCAATGCTTATAGAACCTCCGTATTGGATGGTGAACATGGAATGGAGTAACTGCTACTACCTTAGACACTCAGGCATTTTTACATTGCAAGACATTTCACTACCAGAATAATAAAACAAAAATATGTTATGAATGCATACAATAACTGTGACAAATCAGATTAAACATGTTTCAACTGTGATTTTCCTTGTCGCCAGGAGGTGATGGGACGTAACTACAACACGGCAGGCAGCAGTGGAGGCCCTCGCCACTCCATGATCGAGATGGAGACTCCTCGCAGACCACCCCAGTCTCATACTGAGCCTAGTCCTCATCACCAGAGGTCAGTTTTGTTTTGTCAATGTTATTCTTTTCTGCTGGTTTGGGAATATTTGTTTAAGATTTTAGCCGGAGGACTGTAATTTTTTTAGTATTGACATTTTTTATGCCAGTAAAACAAACACTTTTGAAGGGTTCTAAACTCTTTCAAATTGTGATAAGCTGGGGATCGAACCTGTCGAAAGAAGTCCAGACGCCAGCTAACCACTATGCTCTGAACACACCCTTGCTATCCCCCCTCTTTTTCATTTTGATAAGAGCAAGATCTGAGGATATGTTCATCTAGGCTGTTAAATGTTACATTTGTTTGGAATTAAAATATAGTTTATCTATACAATTGGTATATACAATTTTTTTTAGGAACTGCACAAACCCTGGTCTTGTTACTACTTAGCCTTTTGTTGAGTGATATCATTAATTAACATTCCAATTTTGCATCTGGGTTCAAAATCAATCTCACTTTGAATCAAAAGAGTGATCTTCAGATTTGATGGCGAGTGCCATAACTACTCCAATACCTATATAAGATATTGGTAACTTCTATTATCAAGGATTGTACAATAATGTTATGTGCTGTCGTTCTTGGAAGTAACTTAGATGATTTAGTTGAGTATCATTTTACTCTTCCTCAACGTATTTCTAAGCTAAAGCATTTCCTTCAAAAGCAACAAATGTACTAATACTCAAGCTTCCTTTCATACACAAGTCTGTATTTTGACTAATCAATATATTTTCTCCTGTAGTTTTGAACCCCAGCATCCTCATTAACCTCCAACTTCCTCATATATCCCTCCTTCATAAAAAGATTGATAGTAATGTTGAAGAACATTTCTCATAGTCCTGTGGTATGTCTGAGTAGGTCGGCTGCCAGTGGGAGTGGCAGTGTGATGAGGCCAGGAGACGTGTATGGACGACATTACCCTGACACCGGAGGATATGGTGTTCCTGGCACCCGACGCAGCGTCTCTGAGGCAGAGAGTGCGAGGAAGGTTAGTTTATGAAGCTCATTCACACTTATTACTGATTACAAAATATGGGTAATTATTGTTTTTATTTGTCTATAAATTCCAAACAACATAAATATTTATTCCAAAGCAATAATTTTATCATAATACTCAACAACTTCCTGTATTATTTCAGGTAGAGGCCGCAAGGAGAGAAGAAAGGTACTACTTCCAGCAACAAAACCAACCAAGGCACACAGATCCTAGAGCTAGCAAAGAAATGGAGAGCATGGGGGTTTACGTGTCTCGGAACCCAGGAGACCGTACATCCAAAACACCAGAATCAAGGACTCCAGACTTCAGCCGGAAAACTGAACGGGATTCTAGGACACCGGATTTCCACAGGAAGAGCGAACTACTTTCAAGGACGCCTGATCTGGAGAGACGGATAGAAAGTGAAAACCGAGTGTTGCGTTCTCAGTCTGTGGAAAGGTTGGACAGTCGTGATGTGAACGGAGATTGTCGGATAGAGATGGACAGGGAGAAGGAGAGAGACAGGGAGAAAGAGGAGGAAGATGATGAAGAGGGGGGATTTAAGGGAGGGGCAGGGGGACAATCAGACTCTGGGAGGGGAAGTACAGTGTACAGCAGCGGAAAAGCAAAGACGGAGAGAAACATTGATACCAGCCCGGAGCCAAACACAGTCACAGGTGAGGAATGTGTAGAAAAAGATCTTAAGAACACCCACCAATGAATCATAGTGTGGGTATTGTTAGGTCGACTCACACTTTTCTAAATGCTATGATTAATATGTGAACCGATAAGTGACACAAAGAAACACAGGTTAGAAGCAACAGCCATTGTAAATGACTTTTTCATCACTCTTACAGAAAGTAGCTATTTTCAATAACAGCTGATATAAAATTAAGTAATTGTTTCCCAAGCTCTAATTCAGAGTAGCGAGAAAAAGATGAGCTGATGCTCTCAATCCAGTTCTTCATCTGCCCACTACGCAGAGCTGGCCTTAGGCACGTTCGAAAAATGCAGCCACACAGGGCGCCCTGAGGTGCAACTCAGGGGGCCCCAAGCTTGGTGCAAAATCAAAAAAATTTTATTTTACGTTAATTATGAAAAATTTACAAGGGAAGAGTATAAATACTAATATTAGGCCTATACATTGGATTTATTATTGTTAGTATAAATGGAAGGGGCCCGAAATTTTGGGGAAAAAACATTCCCAATCATCGGGACGGAATTACATTAGGTTCAGGATTTTCTCAGGACAGGTTTTGATACAATACAATACAATATTCTTTATTGTTAATTCGTCAAGAATTACAATAGTGTCAATACAATAGTGAATTGTACATGTTAATTTTCATAAAATTCCTTTATTGAGTAGAAGGGTCTTGCGATTAGCCACTTCTTCAACTCCTGGTGTAGCTTGTTGCCAGTCAGGTCTCTCAGGTAGTCAGGTAGATGGTTCCTCAGCTTGCAGCCGGTGTAGGAAGGTTTTTTCTCCCAAAGAGTTGTTCGGTGAACTGGTAGTGCAAATTTGGAGCCATGACGGGTGTTGTAGTGGTGCAGGTCTTGGTTTCTTGGGGGGTTTATTTCATTCACATACTTTATAGATTCAAGTATGTAGAGAGACACCACTGTGAGGATTCCTAGGTTTGCGAATGCTAGTCTGCAAGTCTGTGGTGGGACAAGGTTGGCGAGGGCTCTTATGGCTTTCTTTTGAAGGACGAGAATTCGATTCATATTTTTTGTTGAAGTTCCTCCCCACACTGTCAAGCCATATCTAAGATGCGACTCTACCAGTGCGAAGTAACCACGGAGAGTCCGCCTATGTAGTTTATTCTTCTGACGACATATATTCCAGTACTGATTTTTTTGCTTAAGTGGTTGATGTGCTCTTTCCATGTTAGTTTGTTATCAAGGATAACACCGAGAAATTTTGTGTGGTTTTCTATTGTTACATCCTCTAATTGAGGGACTATGTCTTTTTTCTTACTGAAATTCAGAGTTGTAGTTTTTGTGGGGTTTATTGCTAAGTCATTGTTCTTTGAGTAGAGGATAGCTTTATTTAGGATCGATTTTGAATTAAGGTAAAGGTTTTGGGCTGTGTTGTCCTTGATCAAAATGGTTGTGTCATCTGCATACATGATTGCAACAGCATTTTCACTCTCAATTTGTTTGGGGAAGTCATTAGTCAATAAGATGAATAGAATCGGGCCTAATACAGAGCCTTGTGGAACTCCTCTCGTCTGCTTGCTTTTTGAAGATTTGAAACTTTCTGTGACTTCATTTGATGAGTTTTTCAGTTCCACAACTTGTGAACGTCCCGTTAGGTAGCTTTTGAACCATTCTAGCGCAGAGTTTCTTATACCGAGTCTTTCGAGTTTCTTGCATATCAGGTCGTGGCCCAGGCAGTCAAAAGCTTTACTGTAATCAAGGAAGATGGCGGAAATGTATTGTTCGTTTTCTATCTGGTCTAGGACGTACTCAATTAGTGCTGTTATAGCTGAGGATGTAGATTTATTCTTCCGAAAGCCATGTTGGCTGTCAGTTAAGAGTTTGTTATCATTAAGATGTGCCATTAATCTAGCCAGAGCAATTTTTTCTATGATTTTAGAGAAACTGGAGATGAGAGAGATGGGCCTGTAGTTTTGAGCATTTTCAGTTGGTCCTTTTTTATGTTTGGGGTATATTTTACTGACTTTTATGGCGGATGGGAATTTGCCTTCTTTAAATGATTTATTTATAAGATAAACCAGAGGAGAGATGAGTTCTTGAGAGCAGTGCTTTATCATCTTAGAGGAAAACTCGTCCATTCCACTTGATGTTTTGGCTTTTAGGGAGTTTATTATCGTTTTAACTTCTTTATAGGATGTTGAAGTTAGGGTAAGGTGTATTGGGCAGACTGGTTTCTCTCCATTCAGCACTGTTTCAGGGTCTATAACGATTGCTCTGTTTTGGTCAAGGGTATTTTCTCCTATATTTGAGAAGAATGTGTTGAAGTGTTCGGCCATTCCTTTTGTGTCGTTTGTGAGTTTGCCATTTATTTCTAATTCTGTAAGGGTTTTCTCTTCACATTTTCCTTTTCTTTCCTTGTTTATAACTTGCCATAGTGCTTTTGGTTTGTTGTCAGCTTGTTCTATGAAGCTAGCTGTTGAGGACATTTTTAGGTTTCTTAGTTTCATGTCGTATATCCTTTTTCTATTAATCATTTCTAATTTGTCTTCATTTCTGTTTGTTAACTCAAATTTTTGCAGAGCTTTCAAAAAGTTCTCTTTAAGGTATTTTGCTTCAGGATCGTGGTACTTCATATGTTTTTTATTTGTACTAATTTTAGTTTTCTTTAATGGGCATGTACAATCCAGTGCTGTTTGAAGAATATTATGAAATTTGTTGTAGGAGGTTTCAAGATTCGGTGAAGAGTAAACATGTTCCCAATTTTGTAGATGGAGGTGAGCCTTTAGATTGTTAAGGTTTGTGTTGTTTAGGCTTCTTTTCATTACAAATCTTTGGGAAGTGTCTTCTTGGTGTGTTTTCAGCAGGCATAGCTGCGCAGTGTGGTCAGATAGACCAGTATGCACAACTTGTCCAGTAATATACGCATATGGTATGTTTGAGCATATACAGTCTATTGAAGTGGCTGTGTCATGGGTTATTCTGGTGGCCTCTAGAGGAAATCTCCAGATGTTTTGTGTGGTTAACTCTTCTTCCAGCATGGTGTTTTTGGAATCTTGGGTGAGCCTGTCGATATTTATGTCACCGATGAGTATGAGGTTTTTCTTGTGTACTTCTTGTAGTTCTAGCGTGTCTGATAGGAGGTCAAGGGCAATTCTTGCATTTTCGATTGGTGGTCTATAGATTCCCAGAATGTAGATATCCTTTTTCTTTGTTGTCTGCATGCGAATCATTGCTGCTTCGAAAATTAACTCCTGGCATGTGTTTGATATGTTAATAGCTGATACTGTATCAGCAAGGGATTCCTTGGAATATATATGGTAATTGTAACACCTCCAAGTTTATGTTCTTCTCTACTAAAGTGGGTAATTAAAGAGTAGCCGGGAATTTTTGTAGCTTCTAGCTCTGTTTTTTTTAGTCATCTATTTTTGATCATCTATTTTATTGGCATGGTTAATATTTCTACACATTTATATTTTTTCTATACAATTATATGGATCAGGCCTATGTTAAATAACCTACTGAGTTGGTTATTGGCAACAAAGTAAACTTGAAAAGCACTTTTAAATATCAGTAGGATTTTATGCCCATCCTTTTCTTTTGTGGTAAAAAAAAAAAAAATAGACCTTGATGGATAGAATTTGATATTATTACTTCGATAAGGATGGGATCACAAAAATAGATTCCTGAAAAATTATCCAGAGTTGGTAAAGACAGGGGATACTTGGTTTATTTTTATATTTTAGTATTAGTCTTTCTAAATCACAACTATGATGTACGACCAGGCCCCGGAGACGCAGGTTGGGTAGACATGGTGGAGTCTGAACTCCGTCACATCCTGGACCCCAAGCTGCATCTCAACATTGCCAACTCTACAATGAGTGAGAGCATCTCCTCTATGACTCCTCCTCTACCTCCGCTCTCACCTGGGGGCTCGTCGTCGCCATCACCCTCCCCGGACTACAAACATAAGAGGTAAGTACTACTCTGACTTACACGGGGAAAATATGAGTGGTTGTCAGTGATGTATATAGTCGCTTTATAAAGTTACTTGAAATTCGGTTTGTTCCAATCCATTCAGAGATACTTAGCTTACTAACTCAGGCTATGCTCCTACATTGGAAGCAGAATTTCTTCAGACTTGTCGGTTTAAACGGGCTTGTCCGAATCTGACAAATACAAACATGTTTGGCGTTGCTTCCCCTCCGATACTCTTGTGACAAGAATCAAACTAGTTTCCAGTCCCAGTCGCAGGTTGAAAATCTTAGATCTTTCCTTGTCGACAGCTGACACTGAGCTGAATCCTGTGACTGATATTAGCTGCAGTGTAGAAGTGCTGGATCTGTTCTGGTCGGGTTGACTGACTAGAACAATCCAATGGCTTTCAATGTGAGAGTAGTCTTAGACTTCACTATGATGATCAATGATCATAAACCATCACTTCTATATTATTTATTGCACCTGAATAGTTACTGTGATTATAGCCCAATTTGTAGTTTAAATCAACTGTGTTTTTCATTGTTCTTCGACCGTAAGTGGTTTTAATTGTTTTAAAAATATGTGGTATTGCATATGTACTGCAAGAGAATTAGCACCTCAAGGTATAATGAATTCATAACCTAATATCTGATATTTCCACAGCCTGCCGTACAACAGCAAGCCAGAGTTCAGTGTGAAGCCTAGAGGTGGCCAGAACAGTCGGGCTGTGTGGAGTGCCAGGGTAGGAGCTAAAGACAAGTCTTCACATCACCGTCTGCCTCCCAAAACATCATCTAAGCTGCCTTCAGGTAAAACTATAAGTATTGTTGATGTGACGTGATAGTTAAGTTCAGTTAAGGTGGGGTATGAGCCCACTGGGACTTTTCTAACATTTAGTCCTCTTCAGCCTGCAATCTTTTGTTGGGATGCAGACCTATCTGATTGGTATAGAGTCCATTGTGGCTCAGGAAACTCAAAAGCATTCCAAAACGTCAAACAAAACAAGTATATTTTTCTTTTACGGATAATGTTCTTCTTTTATAATACAGGGTGTTTTTAAAAGAATGCTGGGATTTTAAACGGTAATTGCTTGGATACTATTCAAGGTAACTAAACGTTTTATACTCCAAATTGAAGCTAAAATAACTAAGTTTTGTAACCCGTGTGGCAAGGGCCGTGTGGCAACTTTGACTTTGGCATGCGAAAACAGGTGTGGGATGATAGGCCGCTATTGTGACTCATACGCCTGACGCCAGTCGCCAGTAAGACGTTTAAGGCGCAACAGAAGGCAATGATTGTAATCTGTAGTTTGCAGAGTTTATATACATTTCTAAATTAAACTAAATTTAAATCTACTTGATGATAAAGAAACTTGAAGCTGGTTTAATGAGTTGCGTGGCACCGAAGTGTTTTGAAAAGACATTCACCTGGCCGGCTAAAAACAAGCGATGACATAGACGAAGAAATCCAACAATTCTGCATCAGAAGCCCGAAAAAATCTATTGCCCGATGAAGTCTTCAGTTTAACATACCTAAATTGGACACTTTATGATGTTATCTATAAAAGATAGAGCCTTTGTGCCGAAAAAGATTCAGTTAAGACCTCAGACAAACCCGCCGATCGCCCTAACCGTAAAGACTTAGCCAGTTTTACGCTCATATCAGATTGATGAAAATCTGAATTTTATTAAATCATTCCCAATTGTATGAATCAATGAGAAAAAAACTTTATTCTTTTCCCTTCAATTTGACGTTTAAATTGTTTAATTATCTTGAATAGTCCCCGAGAAACGACCGTTTGAAAACCCGGCATTCTTTTAAAAACACCCTGTACTTCTTTGAACATGTGTTGTAAATTACTGCTTCACATTCTGTTGTGTTTGCAGCCCTGCTGTGTAGCAGCCTTGAGCTGGACTCTATGTTGGATGAAGAGAACAACTCTAGTGATGAAGACACAACCATAGACACTACAGACACAAGGGCCATTAGGAAACAACTGGAGGGACTGGAGAACATGTACTCTGAGGTAAGTGGCGAGATGCTAGTGGTTCATATAGTGATACTGTTTGATTATTTATTGAACTGAGTAATGTGTCACTGTTGTATGTCACTTTTTTAGACTTTATACATAAACTGATCAGATGTTGGCTGTTGTTTCAAAATTTGGATGAGGTGGAGGGGATGGGATCGCTTCCCCTCAAACCGCCTAAATTTTGAAAACGGAGTTTAACTAGTGTTAACATGTTGGCAGGTTTTGAAGCTACTAGGAGTCAAAAAGCAGGCTGGAGGGAGGGGCTACCAACCCTCTGACCCTCGGGTACACAAGCGACGACTGTACGGCAGTCTCAGCTCTCTACCATCGTCTGTCAGCTCTCGGCCAATCAGGGACAAGCGCCGCCACGACCAAGAGCGCAAGAAGGTCAAGGATATCAAGGTATGTTGATTGCTATACGCTTTGTGATTCTTTACATTAAGTAACAAGGAATGAACAATCATCATTCACAATCTTGCCTATGAAAAGAGTTCAAGTTCTTAAGTATTTTGATGATATTTTTATTTTTAGTTTACAAAAAAGTTAGTGAACTTTATCTCATGATTACACTGGATAGGCTGTAATGCTATTTGAATATTAGTTTCAATTTGAGCTCTCTGTTCATGGCAGGGTATCAACAAGAGGTTCCAAAGGCTGGAGTCTCATGTGGTGACGTTGGCTCGTAGTGTGGCTCATCTCTCATCCGAGATGAGAACACAACATCTCATGATACAGGTATTTATTATGACAAATTAGTTCTCATAACTAGAGTAGACTTGATGAGAATTGTACAGTTTTCAATTCAATATTGAAACATTTTTGAAAAATAAATCAGTTACAGTTTTTTTGTCATCCTGCAGCAAAGACAGCCGTTTTAAATACATGCGTTGCGCGTCTAAAGTAGCATTTTTACTCTCTAGGGAGTAAAAGTATTTTTAGCCCCTACTGAATAATAAAAAGTGTGAAAAAGTTTTGTGAATTGTATTGTTTTTATCTAAGATTTAAAATTAGGGTAGCTGCCCATTTGTGTGATTGGATTTAATTCAGACATGTAACCTATTCCATTGTTCCTGGAAAATAAGGGTATTTGCCCAATTCCTGGTACCTAATACTTAATTATTTTATTAAAACCAATGAATTTCCTCTTATTCCTGGTCCTATAGTGCTATTAAAAGTGTCCTACAATCGGCTCTACTTCGGTATCAAAGCTGAACTTCTTGCTTAAGCCTATATAGAGTTGTTGGAAATATGCCTCGTTTGTGTTGGCAATATACATTTTTGGACTAAACTTTTTATAAGTGGTTTACGTTATTTAAAATATTTTTGTTAAAACAGGAGATGGAGGTGATTCGAGGTGAGTTGGCTGCACTGAGGACACAGAGCAACATGGCCACCGCACGGTCGCACTCAATGCCTCGTGCTCTCAACCGCATCAGCGTAGAACAGTCTAACAGCAACCCCGAGCGAGTCAAGAAACTCACAAAGTTTTTTGGTGATGAACCTCCGCTTCTGCGACTCTTCCTCAAGAAGTTAGGGTATGAGGTACGATTGTCGCACTTTACTATGTTGATCGCACTTTGTAGTGTAGGGTTGTTTGATTAGTTTAAATCATTGTAAATTAGTGGATTCTCTATAGGGAAGTAAGATATTGTCGTAGTTGTCATTGGAGAACTAGGTGTGAGGTTTTGAGGTTCCTATTTTGACTAATGATTATATTACAATTGTTTTCTAGGAATAAACCTTTTCTAATATACATGAATATTGTATTGCGGTAGTTGACTTACATGAATGAGAAAGCGTAAGGCCCACTTGTGCCAGGATAGCTCTTCACTATTCAGTTAAGCCCGCTGTTCCAACTACAATTCTTGATAGTGGCCCTTGCACTATTTTATATCATTAACCTCATTTCTAACATCATATTACAGCTGTTTAAACAATTGCAAAACTGTTTATTGATTATATTTTATCCGAAACATTAAAAACAGGTTAAACATCACAATGTTTTTAACAAAAACTATCTTCCCCTAGATTGTTTTGAATTACCTAGTTGAAAATACGTTTTGAAAACACCAACGTAAACGTGGCTTAGGATATTGATGTTCAAATGAAGAACCACACCTCATAATGACTGCCTGAAAAAATATCATTTGTATTTCTACATTCTAATAAAATATCCCTCTTATAGAAGTACGCCGCGGTGTTTGAAAACGAAAGAATCGGACTAGTGGAGCTGCCGTACCTGACTGAAGAAAGACTTCACAAGCTGGGTATTCCGCTGGGACCAAGGCTGAGAATCATGCAAGAAGCACAACTGGGCTTCCCTGTTCCTGACAATACTTTGTGTATCGTGTAGTACCTGAGAGTAAAACAGTATTTTTGTTGACATTATTCGGCAAGGACAAACAGTATATAACATAATTCCAAGGTGTACCAACCAACCAATCACAAGAACATTTTATATACATTATGCTAAATATGATTGCAGCGTGCGAGTAGAGTTATATGACCCATGTAGCTTTATTACTGACGGATCAGCTGATTTTTGGCCAGCTGATTTTTGTTAGACCATAGATAAATCATACTCCCTTAGTAGATTTGTCATCCATATGGAACAGCTGAAGCCAATTTTATTGTTTGTTCTGTACGTCCAACTGTAGAGGTTATGTTTTGTTTACAATTTGTTTCTTGTTATTTCAGTAATTTAAAACCTCATTTAATCATATAAAACGATTTAATCATAAAGAATAACTGGTCCCCTAGTTATATAACCAAATAGTAAAGCACAAATCATGAAAATAACCCTAAAATAATAGAAACAAAATGTGGTCTACCCCAGCAATCAGTGTGGACGTACATGAACTAGACATGAAAAACAAGCTTCAAAATTTACAATGGGATGAGGAGTCTACTTGTGTTGCTTAGTCTATGGTTAGACTTTGTAATCATGCTAGCTCAACTACGGCTGTAATGTGTACATCAGTCCTGTCAAAATTGAATCAGCTCTCCTCTTGTAATATGGAGTTCTAAGCACAAGTCCAAGTGTTTGTAGCCAAATATTAAGTGTGAGTGTAAGCATTATATTTTTTTGGAGTAGTTTTCTCTATATGCCAAATTCCATAAATTAAGTCGTACTTTCTGTTATTCAATGAAAACATTATCATTTGTTCTTTTAGATAAGTTTTCTTTCTTCTAAAATTCGATTGATTAAATTAATTATTGAAAAAAATCAAGTTAAAAAAAAAATTATAATAGGCTATTTATGTTAATATTATCTAAATTTATTTGTATATTTCTATTGTTTATTAATACCATGGGACCAAAGATTTCATGTATTACACAGTTTTGCATTAAGTGTAGCTCTAAATGTAAATAGTTAGTTCAGTGTAAATAGATAATTCAGTGGCATTCAATAAGAAGTGTTTATAAACTAATATATGTCAAGTCTTCTAAGCTGTAAATATTCTACTATGGTCGGTCATGTAAATAGAGATATATTAGAAATAGTTTGTTAAATAGTTGTACGTATATTGAAAACTGATTATTTAAGTGCCAATAAAATCAATGTGCTGGCCAAATAACTTTTTTTGTATGAAACTCACAAGAAATATATTTTGTGCAATCTATAATATGTTTATTTATTTTACTTTACATTTCGCTCTGGTAACATTGGATTTTCTTTATTATTTGATGAGAGTTAGAGGGTATTTGAAGCAGCATTGTCGATGGAAATCTTCCTCGTCCCATAACTTCCATCTGATTTGATGAGTTGTCTGAAACAAAAAAGCAAAAGTTTTTATACACAGATATTTGTGTTTAACAAACAAGTTTGGGGGTTATTTAATTGGTGTTAATGCCTTTTTAATATACTAAATTATTAGGTTTTTAAGCATTACAAAATTGTTTCTAAACAAATTACAATATTTTGTTTTTTGAGGGTAAAAATAACACCATAAAACCCTGTTCCTAAGATACAATCATGCCGTTTCAAGAACTAATTTGAATAAAAACAGGTTTACACTTTGTACCAAATTTGACCAAAATTGAATGATAAATCGAGTTATGCTGGCGGATACATGTAATAGCGTTTTTGGTCTCAGAGGACATCAAAATAAAAATGCAAATCGGTCAAGGGTCTAGGTCTTGTTATAAAACCTACAGCAAGAGCTTCTTCCCTGGGGAAATTCACTATAAGTACAGTGATCCAAAACATAATTCTTACCTTGATAATTTTACAGGTGCTTCTATGTAATTCGGTCACCAGTTGTGTAATCAAATATAAAACATTTTGTTTATTTTTATAAAATGATTTTTTTGCTGAATAAATTTTTTTCTTCCTGTGATTTCTAGTTAGGCTGACGGGGTCAAGAGTACAAGATAACCTCAAAGTTGTTTGCCACTGATAGCCATGAATAAATTATATAACATTGAAATTAATTTCAAATTATTGATAATTGAAATTATCAAACAGCAGTAATACCACTATCTACTCTTTATTTGTAAATCTTCATCTTTGTTAGTAATATTCTAAAAGGTATCTGAAGACCTTTAATATTGGGTGTAAAAATACTAACTAGTTCATCTATGCCTGAACTATATTTTTCACACCTTTAGAATCCAATACACTTCTAATGTTTTTCCTATTCTTATGAAAATTAAAATAAAGTCATCAACATTCCCAGGTTTTACGTATGCCACATCAATAACTTATATTTTAATGTCCAGTAACTGTAATTCATTAACAATATTAGCCAACCAGTTGTCTTATCTGTTGATTTTGCTGTATCTTTGAGGTCAGATAAGTATTCTAAAGATGAAAGATCAAGTTAGTTTTGACCTCAAACAAGACAGGCTATTACATTTCCAACCCAATTGTATGAACCGATTGTCTTATTGTAGCTTAAACAACTTCTTGCAACCATGATAATATTTTTATTATATAGGGTCTATATGCATTTATTCCTAACCATAAATTTACTTGTTGATTACGTATCAACATCACATAGTCTAATCCTTTCTTCTTTCGTAAATTATTTTATAGAAAATTGCAATTATCTTTTGACTTGGTAAAATAATGTCAATTAATTCATATTCAAAAGCATGATATTTCACCTCTTTGTTCATAACAAAAAAGAAAATACAATAAAAATATTTCAATATGTATGTATTTTATTAACAATACATACATCAATGTCTTATTTTTACTTGCAAATAATAAATATTTGTCAAATGTAAGTACATTGTGATTAGGAAAATTTACAATATCTTGAATCCAAGAAAAAGTGTAAAATTAATTAACAAGTTTGATGGGAATCTTAAAACAGCATTGTTGGTGGAAGTCATCTTCATTCCATAACTTAAACTTGGTAGGATGCGTGCCCTGAAACCATAAGAAATTGTAAGATTAAACAGGCTATAAGTCTGGACGTATTAAAAATTAAGTACTAAACATACTCATAAAAAAATAGATGTCGTTGCAATTACAGCAAATTTCAATAATTGACAGACGTAGGTTAAGTTTGTCTAAGGTGCCTAATGTCTGTTTTTGAATTTCACTATAATGAAACACCCAGTAACCCCTGATTTTTGTTCATTTGACATGTTTGTGGTTCCATACATTTTTCGGAGAAGGAGTCGTGGTAGCACAGTGGTTTTAGTGTTCGCCTTGTAATCAAAATGTCGCCTGTTTGATCCTGAGAAAAGTGTGTAGCTTGGTTCAAAACTGGACCCAGCTGTTCTTGTTTTGTATATTGGGCTTTTAGTTTCAATAAATGGTCCTGACTAAGGATCAGCTGGTCGTAGTCAGTAACAAAGCTACACAAGACATCACACTCCAATCTAAAATCATATATCACTTATTTTGGGTTAAAACATGCACATAGGTGGCATCCCCATTCCAAATTATAATGACAGTCTAGTTAACTTAATGAAAAAAAAAATTGTGTTTTATAAATCGGTTCGACATATATTTTATATTTTTCAATGTTCCAATATAAGTTAGTTGGCCTTGTATAGGATAGTATATATAAAAGATTATATAACAAGAAACCACCCTTTACAAGTTAGTTCTGTCCCTAATAGCACGTGCAGCGAGCAAAAGAAATAATAAAGACAAAGTTAACACTGTACTACACTGGTTTTTCTAACAATTAGTTGCATACTTACCACAAACAGTCCACAACACAACTCAACACAAACATCACAAAACAAGTCCAGAAACAGAAACCCACATGCTTTTCACCACAGCACCATAAACACTATCATTTTTGAATGTTGATGTTAGTATTTTGGGATAAATAACAACCCATAACTGATCATAACAAACACCCACAACACATCAAATCATTGATGTTCCTGAAAATAAAATGCACCACTTTTCTTCTCTTCTTGTAAATTCTTCTCTTCTCACTTTTCTTCTTGTAAATTTAAACATTGAACTCTATTAGCAAACAATTTTTTTAGAAGCCAATAAACTGTAATTAAATCAGTGAAATCATTAATACCTAATTATTTTTAAATTCCAATTAGTTGGTATTCAACTAACAAATGTCCACAAAACATGTCCACTGCCATACAATTGACTTCTAATAAATATTTGTTATGCAAAATTAGAGAGAAAATATTATTTACGAATAATGTATTTATTTAACACTTGTTGAGCTCCAGTAACCCAGATTTATAAACATTGAACTGACTAAATTATTCCCTTTGTAATAATGGTTAGGATTGTTCAAGAGATTATGATTATGATTATAGTATATTTCATGGCTATAGTATAATTTGAAAGTAGTAATTTCCTTACCACAGGGAATTGTTTTTCAACTTGCAGAGCGAAAGTGTAAGTTTGACGCTTGTTTTCTTCAATAGGACAAGTTGTGTACTTGCATCCGTTGGTGTCCATGTTCTCAAAACCTATGTCGACCAAAGTTCCTACTTTGAAAGCTTGACTTCCAGCTTTTGACGTACCCCAATCTGGAAATGTTTGAAGTATTTATATTTACTGCGATATAATCGTAGATAATAACTAATTAGCTTTACTTCTGCGTTGCAATGGAGTTTAAAACTATTAAACTAATCACTTTTAGAAATGATCCCTTTATGCTGCAAAAACCATATATTGCCAATGGTTATAGAATTTCATACGTTTTCTATAATCAATGGTATTATTATTAACATAACCGCATATTTAACAAATTAATCTACTTATGAGTTTTGTCATCATCTGATTTTCAGTGTGTAAATAATTGTGTAAATAATTTGTGTAAATAACTGAGAGAATTGGCAACATCGTTTTGGCGAGACCAAGTACGGTACCAGCTTAGGTACAAGTGGCCACGGCAGTAAGCAGTAAGTATATTAATAAGTAATATTTGACATTATTCAAATGCTGTATTATGTACACTTCAACGAATAGATACTTTGGAATTAAATTAGAGAAACTTTCTAACCAAGGCAACTTGATACAATTACTTGCCTAGTGTAACCTACAGTAATAAGAGATACTAGGTATGCCACATAAACCATAAACTATCTCAATAGGTAACAGAAACGAAGGGTGAAAATTGAATTTTAGGCAGTTATTCAACAGAATAACAGTTATTATCTTCAGTACTTAGGCTTATTCAACTATGGTATTTTATATATAGGATCCAAAGCCAGCTTTCCATCATTCGAGCAGTTTCGCTTAGGCTACGGGGAACTAGACGAAAAATTCGAAGCATTCAATTTGAAGATGGTGCCGCAATTCCCCCATTGCTCTATTGTTAACATAATTAATTATGTAATGGCCATAGTTATGTCTGTAAAATGTTATGTTTACATTTTTTTACTATGGTATTTTTAACAAAACTATTGATTACAGCTGAGCTAAATAAATTAAAGGTCCATAAATGGGATGTCTGCTTCAGCATCCAAAGTCAATGATGCCATTGACTATTGGATGCTGACGTACACATCCCATCTATATGGACCAGCTGTCGCCAATGTTTTATAAAAAATGAACGTAGCCGTGTGAGCCAGTCATAGAATGTGTTAGTGTCTAAAATTCTATTTTCTGCCTAATTTTTTGTTGCTGATACAGTTCATGGGTCAAAGTAGTTGCTATAGCTCGCAATAAGTTTTCTATCAGTGTGAATTATTTAAAAAAAATAGTGTATTCGACAGAAATAAGTAATTTAGATCAGCCCAAATTTGTTGGTGGTGGATCACATCAACTACGACAATTTTTATTAAAAAAACTGGCGACAACTTTACCATGTGGATGTATTATAGTTGTATCAATAGTCAAAGGTAGCACTGTACTCACTTGGAGTGTACTCGAAGGAGAGAGTTGCATTTGTTCCCAACTTGATTTTACATGGTTTGTCTTCAGCAGCCTCGGGACAAGGGTCGATCTTCACCTCATGCACGATACAGTTGGGGGATTGGCCTCCTGCAAATATTTGAAAATATAACAATCTTGTAGAAATGCCTCATCTCTGGGTACTTAGGGGTTGTACTTGTTTTCCTTTTTTAGCGAATTTCCCATATAGGGAATAAGCTATTACCGTAGGTCTCAAGGTTAGACCTGGACCCGGGACCGATACATTTTTCATTTTCATTTCCCCAGAGGCCAGAAACACCA